CAAACTGCTCTTCCATCTCACGGGGATTCCCAGTCAGTGGCCAACAAGTAACTGAGATAAAGCAGGAGCTGGGCTCAGGAGAGAGAAACAATCTCCTTTTTTGTTCCTCTTCAGCGTGACAAGATAATTACCTTGCTTGAGCCACAAGCGTGCTCCTTATCTATATTTAGAAACAGATTCTGCAGCTTTTCTTCCACTTACAATTTTTTTTAATTGCACTTGGGCAGAGAACAAAACAAGCCAGATGATGCTTGTAAAATTGAGGCAGATTCTGTTAAAATAGAGGTGAAATGTCAACATTTAATAGGCCATCCTTTGTCTGGCTCCCTCCCAGGGCACAGAACTCGCCATGGCTGACTCATTACTGACGAGGTGTTGGGAGGGCTGGAGGGAAACAGGGATGGAATGGTCTGAGCTCTTAGAATATACAGGCTCAAGGGTTATCGCCAGCTGGGAGCAATAGTCGGGGGGTTTTGAGCTTGGTGATCTTAACGGTCTTTTCCAACCTAAATGATAATGTACTCCTACGATTGGATGACACTGTCTCTACCATTTACTAAGATGTTGGCTCCAAATTGGATGCGGTGGAGGGCATGCACCCTTCATACCACCACCCTGCCTCCTCAGTCAGCACTTGGAACAGCAGGTTGCCCTGTGTTCTACCGGGAGAAGTTCTGAAACCTAGAAAAATCCACAGATGGTGGCCTGGCTTAATTTATTTATGCCTTTGACTCTTCTGAGTTCAGGCTTCCCCATTTTGTAGCTGTGGGTGGTGCCCATCCTCGTTCTTCCCAAGGGTCACAGGGGAGTTCTACAGGGCTGACAGAGGTTTACAGTCTTATTTATTTATTTAACAACAAGCTGTAACAATTAATTAGTTACATGAATTAAAAAAGGGAATAATAAAACTCAAGAAAATAATAAAGTCCAGTGATGACACCAGGCAGAGTGGGGTGGGTGACAGCCTGAGGGACGGGATGTCATCCACAGGGACCTAGACAAGCTCCAGGAGTGGGACAGTGCGAACCCCATGAGGTGCCACAAGGCCAAGGGCAAGGTCCTGCCCACGGGTCGGGGCGATCCCTGGTATCAACCCAGGCTGGGGGTGAAGGGATGGGGAGCAGCCCCGAGGAGAAGGACTTGGGGGGTCGGTGGATGGAAAACTGCCTGTGAGCCGGCAATGGGGGCTGGCAGCCCAGAAACCCCCCGTGTGCGGGGCTGCACCCAGAGCAGGGTGGTCACAGGGCTGGGGGGGATTCTCCCCCTCTGCTCCGCTCTGGGAGACCCCCCTGCAGGGCTGGGTCCAGCTCGGGGGCACCAACAGCAGAAGGACACGGACCTGCTCCAGCGGGGCCAGAGGAGGCCACGGAGATGCTGGGGGGGCTGGAGCCCCCCTGTGAGGACAGGCTGGGAGAGTTGGGGGGTTCAGCTGGAGGAGAGAAGGCTGCGGGGAGACCTTAGAGCGGCCCCCC